ATTACAGCGGACAGATGACCCCATACCACCACGCTGTTCACTGCTCGCATGCGGAGCGAAACGTGTTTTTCATATCACAGGTGAAATCCCAGTGTTAGAGGAATATATGTTCGCTTTCCTCAGCTTAGCTCAGGAGTTGTAAAAATGTACAGAAACCAACACTGGAGTTTCACCCGTGATATTAAAAACACTAGAGAAAAACGTGTTTCACAACTACTGCGTATCACCGCGAATATCGCGCTTTTCACAGAGTATTACGCCACTTCACGTAAAACAGGTGAAACTCCAGCAATCTCTCAAAATTTCTCATGTTGTTGACCATGTGCAAACTTCCCCACACTGTTATTCGCACAGGTTTTGATGGTAAAAAATATCGCCGAGAAAACCATTTTCGAGGAGAATTACTCGTTGGACGAAGCCTTGCATGTTATCGAGTTCCTCGACGTCGCTGCGGCGATCATCAACGACAAGGATCTCAGCTCAGGTCAGATTGCGCAGTTTCACACGTATGTTCTGGGTTGAATTGAACTCCTATGCTTTCAAATAGATGGGGTATGACATGAATGTTCTTTGTATTTTATCGAAATTTTTGGGGAAATTTTAAAGAAAAAGGTAAAAAATCACCAGAACAGCTGAGTAATTGACAAAATGCGTGGAATATTCTCAAAATGGAAAAATATCTACAAAATGCCTAAGATGTTAACAAAATGGACGAGAAACAACGAAATGAGTAAAATATCGACAAAATTTATGATTTTTTTCAAAACTGAAGAACTATCAACCGAATCAATAAAATGGGCAAAAAAACTTTCTTAAAAAAATTAATTTGACCTGAAAATGCGGTAGTGTTGTTTCTTTTGCTGCATTCTGCAGCGTATGAAAATACGCACATGTTCAAGTACATGTGTTGGTAAAAATATGGAAATTGTTGGGAAATTTTGGGAAAATCGCTGGTTTCGTAGTACGAAATTCGTGTACTTCTACCCAAAATCGTGTGTGTGGATTTTCACAATGCATTGGGGAAACTCACGAATTCAGTTGAGGAGAGCAAACATATATCCTCACACTGGTATTTTGCAGACATTTCGAAGCTTCATGAGGAGTGGAAACAGTCGTGTATTGAAAGCCTTGTTTCTGAGGAAGAATGGTGCTCCCATTTTCATACCGTAAATTCAGAGCTTCAGCCCGGGCAGGAGGAAGAGCTGTAATGAATAGTCTCTCGTGAATAAACGAGTTGATGTTGATAAATTATGAGATACTTGAATGCAATGAAGTTTCACCCGTCAAAGAGTAATCCTGCTAGAGGCTCTAGCAGTTGGCTGACCTCGATCAACTTCTCTCGAAAGGTGGGGCCGAGACTCAACGGCTTAGCATGCTGCGAAACCTTATCTTCAACCGGTGTAAATTGGCTTCGTCTCAGAGCCCTTGTATCTGCATTATGAGTGTTCTCGCTGATCAACCTACTTTTGAAGAATTCTCTGCTTTTGCGATTAACATTCAGCATAGCTTCGAAGGGCTTCGTCTCGACCGGTATACCCTTACACCACGATAAAGAGGTGTATACGATATCAACCGCTGAAGATACAGCTTCTCGCTACGGATGAGTCCAACAAACGAGTTGCTTATGACAACTCAAACGCCGGTTAGGACAAGAGGCGAAGCAGAGATCATCGTTATTCTTATACGGTTGATAAGGTTGCATCGTACATTGCTTGAACTTGGCGAGAGATATACTAGGTGTGTTAACAATATGAACGCGGGGGATCCTACGAAACTGAGAGACTTGATATTCACAATGATGACATTGAGAAGTAGGAAAATGCGAGTTAATCACTTATGAGTGCAGCTCATCCATCCATAGCATTGATACAGGAATCGA